GCCCCCCCCCCCCTTTCCCTCCCGACCAATTTATAAATTCGGTCCATTTTTTTTTTTTTTTTTTTCTCTTAGTTTATTTCGAGAGACAGACGTAAAAGGGGGGAAATAAAAAGCATCTTTTTTTCCTATTTTTATTTTCTTAAACTTTGAAAAGACTACTTCTTGGTTCCAAAAGAAAAAAAGAAACTTAGAAGTACAATTGTTTCAAGAAAATGCCATTAACTTGCATTTTTCTCGGTTTAAAAACGAAAATACTTTGTTTTGGAAGTTATATACTACGGAATTTAAAGTATGAGAACATGTATCACAAATAGGATCATTAGTTGTATTTGAATACCGAAAAAGGAATTGTTGGTTCAGTTGTTATTGTTGTTAAGTTTTATAGGTGCATCTGTGTGAGTTAACAATAAGAAACTTGCATTAAAAAATTCAATAAAATGCGCAAAAATTTGTAAAAATTTACTATAAAATTATTTTTGTCTTGTAAAAATTTACTTTTTGAAGGGAACAACTTCAAAGACTTCATATGGTTCTTACTGCAAAACATTAATATTTCTTGTTCCATCCACTAGAGTTATTATCTCTATGAAGAATCGAACACAGTTACTGAAATTATAATTTAATTCAATGATTTTGGATCTGCTGGTTAAAATGCTTTAATAACGTCCATTTTAATTTTATACAAATGCTTTTATTAGTACGGAAAATATGAATTAACAATGGATTTAGAAAATTCATCGATTACATTTAACAATTCGCTTAATGATATAAAAAAAGGGGAAATGTTGACTAGACATACAACTGGTTCTAACCCCACTAAGTAGTCCTCAGTCTGCAACACTCAATTGTTTTCCATATCCAGTTTTAAAATTATGAGTTTTTAAATATCTACTAAATTGATTTTCTCTCATCTAGAGCAGTGTGTGTGTGTGTCAACGTGCCAGACATGACCATTCAGCAAAGTCGAAAGAGACACAATTATAGAGAGCCAGGGTTTGACCACTGATCTTTCTCGGAAGTCACAATGATCTGCATGTGTTCCATGGAGGAACTCTGACTAGCGTTCCTTAATCGATATTTCCAACCATATTATTGGTAGTTTTTGTTCGATTTCATTAATAATTAATTGATACTAATTATTAATAAATTCATTTTGATGTATGATAATTTGTGACTTTGAATACTTTCTAAGAATCACGTTTTGGCCGAATAGAATGACCAGTTCATTCTAATTACCTGAATTAAATAGAAAGTATATTTTGGGCTACCTTGGTGGAGACGTTGCTATTTTATGTCATCCTCTGAGGTCGTTACATGAGGGGGCATAAAGATTACTAAATGTCTGGTCGCTTATCCTTTTTGGTGTCCAACAGTTGAATTACCAGCATGCAAAGTCGATGCCACTCAAGTCAAGGGTGAGTACATTTCTTAGTAGAACTCATTTTTGTAATCTTTCCCCAATATGCTTCCTCAAAGAATTGATGTACTGCTTTCTCGAATAATGAACTTTTCTGACAATTGTGTGTGTGTGTTTTAATGTTTCAGTTCAACTTATGAAAAATAGTGTCACATTCAATTAAAAATAATATATAGATTTTTAAATAGCGTAATTTATGTTTTTGTCACAATGACACAATGTGGTCACAATGGATTATAGAAAAATTACAGGGGCTGTATTAAATTATAAATAATCTTATATGATCGTTCAAGATAAACAGTTTTCTGTGTCATCCTGCTAAGTGCTGACTGGTTACTCAATTCAATACATTTATAGATCTGATTGAGTCGTATAACTAGTTAGAAAAAAAATAGTTTAATTTGTAAGAACTCGTTTGACTTTTTTAAAAAAAAAAATTATAGTACTTGAAATTTGCAAAACCTTTATTTATATATATATGAAATGAACTCAAATGCTACTTTTGTTAACTCAGTTCAAATTTAAACTTCTTAAATACAGTAATTAAAGATACAGGTAGTATTATAAGTGACAAGAACTTTTGAAAACTAAATGCTAAACTTGGAGAAATAACGGCTAACTTAATCTTCCTAAAGCTCCCGCATTAAAATGGTTCTAAGACAACACGAAGTTTGAAATACTGGAAAACCTTTACTGAACTTACTACTACTTTCATTTACTTTCCAAGATAAATTAACCCTTAGTTTTAATACTCCCAACATAATTAGACAGCAACATGATTCTTTGATGAAGTTCTTTTTCTTTTTAAT